CTGGTAGCGCGCGTGGTGGGCGTCAAACCCTCGACGACTTGGAAAGCAGAATAGAACTGGGAATCGAGCTCGGAGAGGAGGTGGATGAGGAGGAAGAAGCACACTTGTCTCCAGTGTGTAGAAGTAAGAACTTTGCATATCCGCAGTCTTCATTTCTTACAAGGTCAAGTCACATTCAATATCGTATTTCTTTTTGAAGGGAATCTTGTCTGAAAAGAAGTTCAACTTCCAAAGTGTTCTGATAGTTCTGTTTAACTGATCCTGTTTTTTTTGTTGTTATATTTCTGTAAGTGGTTCTAATACGAAGTCCAATCGCGCATTGACGTCGTAATTTCCCATCAAGCTTTGCAAAAATAAACATGCGGCGCGCGGGAAACTTGAAATCCTAATAAAAGCTGAAAAGACGCCCAGCATTCAAGACAGGAAAAGAATTATCGACCTCAAATCACTGAAACAATTTAACACAAACACCAACTTGTGATTTTGAACAAAACTGTTTTTTAGCCAAGATTCTCGTTAAGGAATGGAAAGAAAAACATCAAATTTAGTCTCGTATTGGTTTTTAGGGGATGTTGTGTTGTCGAAGTTTTGCGACGTCTACCATATCCAACCATTTTACCAAGGATCCAACTGTATTCCGTTACTTTGTAGTATTCTTGTCGTTTGCCTAGTTATTGATGCTTTTCGACCTGTTTTAGTTCTGAAACATTGCAAAGCAGGGTATAATGTATTTTCCCTCATCTTTGAGGAGGGACTCTTAAACCGAAAGCATTTCATAGATAGCGTGCATTTTATCGGCCTGGTATAATTAATTTGCTTAGTAGAATTAATTTTTGTTTTGGAACAGATGATGACATAGGTCGTGTCAGCGGTGATCCATCGGAAACAAGCTCAGTGGCATACTCAATGGATGGCGAGGAGGACTGGATCTGGGGTGGAGAAGGGCCTGGATACGTGGATGTACAAGAAATTCGTGCCCAGCTTGCGTTCAGCGGTTCATTGCCAGCGCTAAGAGAAATAAGGTCAGTTGTAGAGATTTATTGAAGGAGCTACGTCACAGTTTGCGCACTTTAAAACTACCACTAAAACTGTGTAGTGTGATCTCTTCTAAGCCTTGTCAAAACCAAACTACAAAGTAACCTATTTGGTAGTGAAATGTGTTACCATTTTTGTTACGTGTTAAATTTGTTCCCATTCCATGCTGTGGAGGAAAACAAAGGTAAATAAATCCGAATCTCCAACGTATTGTTTCCAACAGACATTAACTTGGCGTTTTTCTCCGTTTCAAGATTTTTACTTSAGATATTTGTAGAGGCTAAGTGTCACGACTGGTGGTTCATTCTGTCACTTGTATTGCGTGACAGCACGAGTTTGACAGACTTTATCGACGACGTCATTAAACTTCGGGACACAACTGCGGAGTCACTGTCCCGGATGAAAGACGGAATCGAATCGCTAGAGGCCTGGGCTGAACAAAATTGGTGAGTCTAGTTGGTTAATTTAATGACATTGTTTTTCAAAAGCAATTTTGTCTTTGCTCTTTCTTGTGTTTTATATATTCCGAGTTGGAAAACTGGGGGAGGGGTGGGGAGAACAGGAGAATATATGGCTGAGGACTGGTTATGATATACGGGCCGCGGGCGTTACGGTCCCTACAGAATGACCGAGAGCCCGATAATCTTCCGTTTGTTATCTCTGGTGTCTCGTTTTTTTAGCCATGGTTACCATTTGTTCCTTGGTCTTCACAAAGAGCACTGGCTCGCTCTTGAGAGAGCACTGACGGAGGCCAAAAATGCGCCCAAAGAACAAAAGGACAGCAGTCCCGCCTCTGAGTCTAGCCGTCAATCACGTCAGTCCAGCACGAGTAAGGACGAAG